CCCGAATGAGGGGCAGCAGAGACATGAAACACGGTGGGGACCATAGAAGAGATCTGGCGACAGCTGAGTGACCGGAATTGCTTCTATTGTAAAGCCAAGTCAGCTTTACAAATGTAATGAGATTCCCAGCGGCAAAAGCCGTCGGGGTCTCTTTAAACAGGCTCGATTCTAGTGACTTACACTGTACGTCACTGGTCATGAAGGGGTAAGATTTACAAATGCAAATTAGAAGCTGACCGGTTGCCATGTACAGCCAGCTGCTCCAGATTCTGTCTGCTCTAGTCATAGTTTATTCCCCTCTATGTATTTTCCAAAAGCTGAGAACCTGTAGAATAAGAATGTGCAACTACCATCTTTTTATGTTGCATGATATTTGCACAATTGTTATTTAGAGCAAACATATATTTTCAGTAAAAAGTAATTTAATGCGCATCCCAACACATTATAATCCCTGATGAGTAGACTTCAAAAACATTCTTGGGGTCACCAATAAAAAGAGGGGGGATGAAGAAATAGGAAGAAAAACAGGTTAGACAGCACTATAGAGTAGTATATTTGTCTGAAAATGTTAAAAGTGTGCATCTGATAAACAGGACGCATTTCAACTCGCCATACAATAGATAGACATCATATACACACAAAAGCGACTGACAAACTATGTGTGCCAAATTGTAGTAAATTCGTTTTTTTATTATATTATTATATACATTATATATTATCATTATTATATTATATATATTCATTATATAAATGTCATGTTAAACTTTCGGTCTCGTAAATCAAGTCCATCCCTAATACCTCCTTGCAAGCACACTTAGAGCTGCGAACATTTCTGTCAAAAAAAAGTCATTGCTTCTCCTCTTCATGTCATTTCACAAAAGACATTCATACAAAAGAGGACTTTATAATAATATAGCTATTTTCTGTTTTGCATAATAGTGTAGGGGGAGTTAGCCTGAATGATGAGATTTTTCTAGAATGAAACAAGCTGTAACATTATTACCTCCCACCAGCTCACATTCTCCATTCAACAAGATCGCATTTACTGCTAGAAGGGCACAGACAGCATTACAAAGCAATATACTACACAGACAGAAGACCAGAGGGAGTTGTGCAATGAAAACAGCAAAATGAGAAGATTCTCTGGCATTAATAAACATGAAAGGACATGGTTTGGGAGATATGTACATCTAGATATGAAAATGAGAAATTAATTATAAGACTCCATATCAAATATCATTATCAGAAATGCAAGTATGAAATATTTATGATGCAAAAAGATGCACCAATAAACTCACCAACAGTCACTGTGAACTTGGTTGACAAGGGTTTACCTGGAACCTGCAAGACCCATTGACTAAACCTTGACCAGGCCCCACTATGTAAATGAGTGTGTGCATGATTCTCAGTCCTCTTGAGAAGAAGTGTTTGGTGAGGCTAGTTGACCACTGAGCAAGATTACTTTTTTACATTTGAAAGGTGTAGTCAACTTCAGCACTAAAAGTAGTCCAGACCTTGGTACAAAGGTCCTATATGGCAATTTAACAATATATACATAAAACATAACATGCATTCGGATGGATTGGGTGTTAAAGCACTTCATATACTCATCAGTTGTGAGTTTCAAAATGGCCAACTTGACTTCACCTTTGACATTCTGCTGGAGGATGTAGATAATTAGTGGGATCATCTTTGAGGAATAACAGGTGTTAGTATATCAGGCACTTCAGCATCAGCACACTAAACTAGATGCTTTAACTGTAATACACTACACAGTGGTACCTCGGTTCACGAACTTAATTCATTCCACGATTCTGGTCGCAAACCAAATTGGTCACGAACCAAATAAAACTGTGATCAAACCGCGATCTCTACTAGCCACAACCAGTGTCAGAGCAAGGAAGATTATGTAGTTGTCACACAGTTTGCAAACGGAAGCAACATTTTGCTGAACCGAATTGTTCGCGAACAGAAGCGTTCGTGAACCGAGGTACCACTGTAAAGTGTAACTCACCCAACACAGAAGGCACGTGTTGCCAATTTAGGGTAATGGAGCCAAGAAATCCCATCAAGTTCTACATTTAAATCTGTTTTCCTTTATAATCTTCATAGCATACAGAAATGTAAGGAGTGTTACTGCCTAACATAAACAAACATTTGAGGATGTCATTACAAGTTTTCACTTACAACCACAATGATTTAAAAAGAAAAAAAAAAATCCTTGAAAACATGTAGCTGGCACAAAGGATTGCACCCAGGGCCAGAAGTTGTCAGCTTTCCAAAAGGTCTGTAAGCACTTGTAAGTGAAAATGCACTTATAATTAGGTGCTGCGGGACATATTTTTTTATGTCTACTAATAGGTCTGCTTTAATGCTTCAGATTTCACATATACCAAAATCAAAACTGGAAAAAAATGTATGTAAAAACCAAAAGGGGTCTATTCACAAAGCTAGCCGAAGGATCAGCCGTAGCTTCGACTGATCCTTCGGTTTCGGGAGCCCTTCGGTTCTACAAAAGGGCTACTGTACGGGCTATACACTTTAGCCCGTACAGCTACTGAAGGCAGCCCAGCGGCTCAGCCGAGTCGAAGGCATATGCTTCGGCTCGACTGAGCCGAAGTGACACCCGAAGCAGCTGTCACTGATCTCAAGGCTGGCTACGCCCAGTTGTAATGACAGATCCGTGCCCCCAAATGACCTGGGAGGCTGAACTGTCATTAAACAATGACAACTGGGCGGAGCCGGCTGCGACGTCACTGTCGGCTCTGCCCAGTTGTTATTCATTGGCCGGGACCTGCTAGAGGACTCTAGCAGATCTGGCCAATAGGAAACAGTTGGGCGGAGCTAACTGTCACTGCTAGCACCGCCCAATTGTTTTTTACATTTATTTTTCCTTTAAAAAAATATTTTTCAACTTTTTTTTTTAAACTTTTTTCATTGATTTCCTATTCTGTGAATAGGGGCGAACGGCAGTGAGCTGCCAGAGCTTTGGCTCAGCCGATCCAGATGTTGGATTGGCTGAGTCGAAGTCCTTCTGCACTATGGCTCAGCCGAACAGCCGACCGGAGTGCAGCTGATGTACGGCTCATTTCAGCTGATGAACGGCTGAAATCAACCACACTGAGCCGTAGTGAAGAGCCGAACGTTGTCCGGCTCACTCCACTATGGCTCGGTTATTCACTCGGCTGCCTCCCTGACAATGTGTTGTATGCAAAGTTGCAAGCATTGTGTTGTTAACCTTAAATTGTAGGAGTAAAAACAGAATTGTTCTATATTATTCACTTGTACCTTCCACTATTACATAGCACATCAGTGGGGTGTAAGTGCTTGTGGTACTTCTATTTAAACTGCATAAAAAATGGTAGCCAAGTTACTCAAAAGCCTGCAATGCGGTGTTGGGAATACAAATGGCCACTAGATGGCAGACAGCCGGTACAAATGACAATAATGTTCCGTCTGATGCAATCTTTTGTATACCTTTTTCAACCTGTGACATACCACAATGAAACTTCAAATGTTTGTTACACACAGCGTCCTGTATTTTACAACACAACAGGCAATAGCTTGCAAACTAATAGAAAATATGATTTGACACATCTTGCTACTTGTGGAACAAATCGCACTGAATATTTTTTGGGCACATACCCAGAAAACAGGAGGGTGTTCAATCACGCACATTCTCCTGTACATCTCCAGCAGAGTCTTCAGCAGTCAACACTTTTGGGTATGTCTGGTGCCCACTGTGGTTGCTCCTTGTAGCCCCTATGTTACTAGTTTTCTAGTGATGTAGGGGCGATGAAACTACAGCATGCAGTGGGTGACACAGACATCCGACACACCCAGAAGTGTTGAATGCTATGGATTCTACTAAAGGTAATAGCTCTTGAGGAGTGTGATGTGTGGACTCGCTGCCCTCTAGAGAAGTTACTAAAGTGTTCTTTGGCAGGCAAGTTTTTTTTTGATTTTTTTTCCTGTGTCAGAGTCCCTTTTAGAATGTACTTAAGCTTTATAAATGCTGTGCAAACAATACTTTGTTAAAGAACTCCAGGCAATTTTCTTAGGGGTAGACCCACTGCAAGCTTCAAAGTTAAGTGCTTGTTTTTGTGTAGGTGCAAAAATTAAAAAAAAAAGTTATACCCAACTGGTGGTTAGACCGCACTCCACCCCTCCACACAGAGTCCTCAATCTCTTTTTCTGCAGCACCCCTGTTATGAATGAACAGGGCCTCTATACTCCTGTCCATGAACAGTAAGTGATATAGAGCATCCTGACTCGCTGTTACAGGAGGCTGAGCAGGTGATACAGGGAGGAGAGCTCAGCACGGCTGACAGCTGTCTCCTCTCCCCCTCACCGCTCTCTATGCTAAATCGGTCACAGAAGGCCGAGCTCTCCTCCCGCACCATCCTGCTTGGCCTCCTGTGACAGCTTACATCGCTCTCCTCCCTGCCCCGCTGGGCCTCCTGAACGTTTCTCTGCTCCCCGCTGGACACTGCTCTGTGTTAGAGGGAACACAGTGCAGTGCCCAGCGGGGAGAAGAGAAACCATGGATGCACTGCAATTTCGGTCGTAAAATTGTACTTTTGGCATTTTGCCCAAAGTGCCATTTTCAGCCGATCTGTTTCAGCGGCTGAAATTTCGGTTCATCCCAAATATTATATATATATATATCACACTGAAGCCTGCTGACAAGAGTAGATAGCAGAACGAGGATCTCTTCATGGTCCTGGTGTTCATTCATCGTCCACTCAGCAGTCTGGAAGAGGGTCTGTATTACTTTGTGGAGCTCCAGCCAAAACGTTTTTTTTCTAATTCTTGATGTGGCAAAGGCTTAGTATATGTGGATAGAACAGTTGCCTATGGCCACATTCTGTTAATCTCCTCACTCCACATTTGTTACTGAAACAGGCGCCCTCATTGGGAGATTTCCCTTCTACAGCTGTAAAATTGGAAACCTCCCCTCACTTTTGGTCCTGGTAACATCAAATCACAAAGAGAGTGGCAGAAGTTCTAAGACTTCCCACCACAAAACAAGAAAAATAGATGTGGCTGGGGTTGCACATTAACTGCACTGAAAAAAGTTAGGTCAAGACCTTGCTATGCTTTCTGAATGGGGTGTCTGGATTACACTAGTGGCTAAAAAGAATTAAAATGTTTTGAAAAGTTTGACAGTTCAGGGACATGCATGTGATGGAGTTTTGTGTAAATAACCTAGGTGGTGTTCTGCATTGCACTGTATATTATATTACTGCTGGGATTTGTTGTACTCCTCTATAGCTAGTGGTATTCCGCATTGCGCTGTATAATGTATTATTGCTGGGATTTGTAGTCCTCTATACAGCGCAATGCAGAATACCACCAGCTATATAGGAATAGAACAAATCACAGCAATACATTATACATACAGTGTATTATGTATAGTATACAGCGCAATGTACCATCAGCTATAGAGGAATACAAATCCCGACAATACAATATAGAGCACAATGTGTGGGAAAGTGCATGCTTACCTGAGCAGTCTTCCAGCAACCTGCTTCTGAGATCGGGCCTGTCTATCGGCGGCTGTCATCCCCCCACACCTGCACGTGAGGTGGGGAGGAGGTGCGGCGTGTGGAGCGTGAATTCGGGCGGGCTGGTCTAGCAGCGGCGAGCGTGAGGTAGGGAGGAGGTGCGGTGCGCAGCACTGGGGCCGTGAACAGGGCCAACTAATCGAAAGCCGATTTATCGATGATTGAAAAAGTTGTCAACTATCTATGTATAGATAGATCTATATCTATCTATAGATCTATCTATCTATCTAGATAGATAGATAGATAGATAACTACTGATACATTGTTGCTTAGTGTCATGTGACAGTTTCTCCAAAACAATACAGACTAATGATTTCAGGACAGTGGTGGAGCGCCAGAGCCCTGTCACAGCTGCAACCCTGATAGTTCTCGTGAAAATGCCAAGTATCGGCACTGGTATCTGAACCAGTATCTGAACATCCCTAGGTCACTATGTACTCCCCTGCCTACAGCCTCATAGCTGTATACCGGTTTTGTGTGATCATCAAAAGCACGTCTGCCTCTAATTGCTAGTCTTGCGAGATTTCTAGTTCGATTTGGTGGGATGACTACAGTGCTGCTTGCTGGAGGTATCTGCATGCTTCTGCCTCATTTGTTTTGTGGATCTGTGCTTTGTGAACCTCTAATGCTGCTTCTTTAATATTTCTCCACAAGTCATCAGATCTCTGGCCATTAGGGAGGCAATTCTGAGATGAGGAAGCAAGGGCAAGATGGCTGCCTCCACACAAACACAATTCAGAACAGGGCATGGATGGTAGGTCAGTAATAGTAAAAGATCAACCACAGTCAATACGGATGTTTCTGTTTATTTGCCCTCTGCTTGCCTTTTTGGGCACAGCTTCGGAATTTAGACATTCTTTAACCTTTTATCTCAACTATACATTTAAGATCCAAACAATAGACTTTCTCTGCAATGAGAGACACTCTCTATGCTCCCAGAGCCAATGTCCATGTGACCTTTTTTTTTTTCAGTTTTCATTTTTATTCAATTCAGGGCAAACAATAGGTATTTGTTTTGCTCAAAACTAAAGTAGAACTCCAGCCAATGTATTTTTCTAAGTTTGCAAAAGAGATACATTCTATGCCAGGTTTTTATAATAGTCACTGAGGAGATCTACCACTTGTTTGGATAAAAAGGTCTATGGTATTTCCACTCATTATAAGGAGATTTTCAAATTTCCTCCAGTTTTGTTTCTGAGGACAGGAAATGCAGAGAAATCTCACCGATAGGTAGGGATAGAGACAGCAAGAAAACCTGCCTGAATTTCTTACTCATCTACACTCTGTCCAAAATAAAGAATAACAATTTGGCTGGAGTAACACTATGTGATGCTGCAACTTGCATAATTAAATAGAAAAAAAAAGTATTACCTGCTGCTGACTTAATCCTTCTGGCATTGGAGACATGATAGCCTCTGTATGTAAGCAGTCCACATCAATGAACACATTCAATTCTTCATCTTCAAGGCAGGCAGATTTACGATCTAAAAACACAAAATCAAACAAATATGTTTGCTTTTTTTTCACTTATTAGCCATGTTAAGGGATAAAAAATATGAATAGCTTTGTCATACTATAATGTTATTTGTTCATTTTATTATTTATTGTATTATTTGCTTTAACCTCTAGGTTTATATGCTAATGTTTTACTTTGTTTTTAATTATTTGCATTAAATCTTAATTTTCTTTAAAAGAACATGCAGAATGTATACATGGCCTTGTGCTTTCAAAGCGGTGCTGGGGTTTCCGATAAGAAAATACAGCACTGCTTCTATGCTTTTAGCCAAATTGTGTTTACCACACCAGGTGTGTTCCTCCCCTGTTTTTGTTAAGCACAGCAGCTGCTCTTTGAGATTTTATCTGCTATCTAAACCTGCTCCACCAAATGGCTTCAAATGGTAAATATCAAATAATATGCAATATTTCATATTTACCTGATTAAAAACACTTTACCTGTCGGAAATTTTTATCTTTAAAATGTAAAAGTCCTTCTTAAGAACAAGAACCATGGGAGTGAGCTTGGAGCGGTGGCTACTTTACAATAGAGCTGCAGCTAACGATTATTTTCAAAATCGATTAGTTAGCCGATTATTAAGTTCGATTAATCGGTTAAAAAATTTAATACATTTTAAAAAATGGCTCCAGTGATGGACTACTAGTTTGTATTGAGATTGTAGTCCATCACAGGAGCAAGCTTGGAGCGGTGGAAGTAAAAAAGTTAAAAAAAAAGTGTGGTGTGCAATATAGTGAAATGGAAAGTGTAAAATTATACAGCAATGAATGCAGAATGGCACCGGCTATAGAGGACTACAAAACCCAGCAATGGTACATTATACAGCACAATGCAGAATACCACCAGCTATAGAGGAATACAACAAATCCCAGCAATAGTACATTATAGCTAGTGGTATTCTGCATTGCGCTGTATAATGTACTATTGATGGGTTTTGTAGTCCTCTATAGCTGGTGGTATTCAGCATTGCACCACTGTATAATGTATTATTGCTGGGATTTGTTGTACTCCTCTATGGCTGGTGGTATTCTGCATTGCGATGTATGATTGCTGGGATTTGTAGTCCTCTATACAGCGCAATGCAGAATACCACCAGCTATATAGGAGTACAACAAATCCCAGCAATACATTATACATACCGTGTATAATGTATTGCTGGGATTTGTATTCCTCTATAGCTGATGGTACATTGTGCTGTAGAGTATACAGCACAATGTACCATCAGCTACTGTATAGAGGAATACAAATCCCACTATCCCAGCATTACATTATAGAGCACCATTTGTGGGAAAGTGCAGGCTTACCTGAGCAGTCTTCCATCAACTTGCTTCTTAGATCGGGCCTGTCTATCGGCGGCTGTCATCCCCCCACACCTGCTCCTCCTTACTTCTTCTCCCCTCGTCCCTGTGCCGATCGTGGATGTGGGCGGGCGTTAAACATGAGGCGGGAAGGAGGTGCGGCGTGTGGAATGTGGATGCATGCGGGTCTGGCAGCGGCGAGCGTGAGGTGTGGAGGAGGTGCGGCGTGCAGCGTGTGTGGAGCTGTGAACAGGGGCAACTAAGTCGATTAATCGATGATTGAAAACATTTTCGATCATCGATTATAATCGATTTAGTCGATTAGTTGTTGCAGCCCTACTTTACAATACACATAATTAACATAAGGAAAAAAGTAGCCATCCTTCAGAAGGATAAACAGTGTCAGCACCAATTCAGAGATGATTTGAGGATCTACAGCTGAGTGATACACAAATAATATACAATTTTGTTAATAGTTAGGGTACTTGAATGCATTTTTAAGATTTACCTCCTGAGTTAAGTGTCATGTTAATAATATCAATGATAACGGTAGATATTTTAGTATTCTTCTTAAGAAAGACCTTTACATTTTAAAGTTTGAAATGTCTGGCAGGTAGCGAGTTTTCTGGCTAATAAAGATAATAGCAGACACCCTGTAGGGCCTGCAGTTAAGATGACCATACTACATTCCAATCTGTAAAATGTCTTTAGATTTACAAAAAACATTATTAGAGTCTACCTAAAGAATCAGTTCAATTTATAGTTAGGCAGGCCCTTGCACCTTATAGTTGTTGCAAGACCTAAAATAATTCATACAAATCGAAATGCAACAAGTTTACTCTGATTAAGGCAGAAGTTATAGTTTAGAATGACTGATAGCTCTACTATAAAGCTGCCAACAAAAATCCTGTTAACTGGATTTTTAAACAAAGCGGATGTACAAGATTTCTTCATATGACAAGTCATCTAACTGTACCATGCAAAACAAATGATTTTGTTCTGATGTAGGAACGGCCCTTCTTCACAGCAGCCTTTGTTTTTTCAAGCCCGTCTTTTGTGCCGTCTTTTGCAGCTTTCATAAGCCTCTGCATCTATAAATATAAAGCATAGAAACCAATTCTAAAAAAGAAAATAATACAACATGAAAGCACTACCAGGGTGGACTGATCATACATGGAATGGTATCTGAGAAGGACATGCTACATCACCTTGAGTTCATGTTTTTGTTTTAAATGTTGGATCTCTACTCCTCCCACTTTGTTTGCCACCAAATCTTTCATCTTTTTCTCGTAGTGTTGTTTTATACGTGTTAAGTCCTGAGAAAGCTATATGGAAAAATATAGCATGCCTTCATGAATAAAAATGTAAGATATTTTATCTAATAAAATACTGTTTTGGTCTGTTCTACAATTCTACCATTCAAATGAAAATTATACAAGCTTTCAAAAGAGTATAGGCACAACAATCCACGGTGACTTCAAAATATAGTGAAGGATTTTGTTTTTCAGAATTACAAATAAGATGCTGCTACATACATTCCATAGAGATATATCTATGCATTCATTCATACATGTATCCATGTGTGTAATGCTATCAAGAGTAAACCAGAAGGTGGTTAATCATCCTCAACTCTGTGGCCCCATTCAACCATTTAGCAGGAATCCCAGCTCACTTTGTCTATTGTCAAGTGGCAGGCTCATAGATAAGTATGGGCAATTTTTAACTGTAAATTAAAAGTTAAATAAAGATAGCCAAACTGGAAGGCCAAGGTGTGGGACTTCTAAAAGGCAGACCAACAGAATGGGGGAGTAGAAGTAAGAATATTCTACCACTTCTATATTCCGTTCTCTTCACCTTATTCCACTCTTTGGATTTACTGGTCTCTAAAGTTGGCCTCCAGGCAAACATACAAACACAAATGCATTCAGATATTTATTCATTTAAAATAACATTAAATATACATTATTTTCTTATTATTTTCTTGCATCTTTTGTTACATTCTTTGTAATTACCGAACACCAATGACATCCCTTCCATCTTATATTTTTTAAATGCCACTCTCTTGTCCTTGCGTTACCAATCTATTTATCTATACCGGCTTAGTTTTTGATATTTTAATGTTGTTCCCCAATGGTATACACTTGTTAATAGCCTTATGTAATGTGTTCTTAAAACATTCCCACTTCTGGTCAGTGCTCAGTTTCTGAAATACATTTTCCCATTTGATTTCACCCATGAGCTGGCGCAGCTTATCAAAGTTAGCCTTCCTGAAGTTAAGGGTTTTTGTCCGACCAGCCATCTTCCAATTTCTATACCCAATATTGAAGGTAATCACATAGTGATCACTGTTACCCAGTGTCTCCCCAATTGCAATATCCTCAATTAACTCCCCATTATTAGAAATTATAAAATCTAGGATTGCATTTTTCCTAGTAGGGACCTCCACCATCTTATCCATGAAGTTGTCTCGCAACATGTTCAGAAAACGGGCCGCCTTTGTCGAATGGGATATTCCGCTTGCCCAGTTTATGTCTGGATAATTGAAGTCACCCATAACGATGACATTACCCTGCTTCCAAGCTGTTTCTATCTGGCAGTGTAGCTGTGCCTCCTCCTCCCCCCCTATAGCTGGAGGTTTATAACAGACACCCACAATAAGTTTACGGCTAGTCTCCGACCTGTCAAGTTCTAGCTACAGGGATTCCACGTCTTCCCCGCCATTTAACGCAATGTCATCCCTTATGTGCACCCTTAAATTATTTTTAACATAAATACAACCCCACCCCCTTCTCCCACACCTGTCCCTCCTGAACACCTTGTACCCTTCTATGTTAGTGGCCCAGTCATGTGTGTTATCTAGCCAGGTTTCCGTTATTCCCACTATATCAAAGTTTTTTTCAAGTAACATAATTTCTAGCTCTTCTACTTTATTTGCTAGGCTTCTAGCATTGGTGTACATACATTTAATTTTTGACCTACTTTTGGAATACAAAATATTATCCGGCTCTCTGCTACGTTTTTTATTTTGCCTAGCTATAGGTGGATCATTTCTAATATGTTTGACTTCGCCCATACAATTTGCCGTGTTAGCTGCATTATTTGTATTGATTTTGTTGTTGAACTTCTTTTTATTGTTATTGACTGGAGTGAGCCCCCCGTTATCTCCTGTATTCCTCCTTTTCGTATTTTTTTTCCCCGTGAATAAATAATACATTTTTGTTAATAGTTAAGAAACTTGAATGTATTTTTAAGATTTAACACCTGAGTTTAGTGTCACTTCAAAGCGGAAGTAAACCCATCACAGCAGTCTGACCCCACAAAAACAGACACAAATTCTCAAAATGTTAACATTTTCTTACTAAACACCCAAGGTATCCTTAAGGCGATACATACTGTGATATTGTTAAGGGGCGTTTCTCCATGCTACTGCTGAAGTGTGTGCTATCTTTGTTAGTTTCTTGCATTCCCTATTCTTTCATCTCCTTTCACTCTCAACGCACATCATATAGGAAGCAGATCAAAGATTTCAGGAAGAGGAGGAATCACGAGATCCATCTCCAACAAGGCACTTGAACTCACAATTCCTTCTTTTCCTGAAACCTAAGCTAGACGTCTATATGCTGCTCTGCATATCCATGCTCTAGAGAGGCAGAGACAGCTGTCAATAAGGCAGCAGGCCGGATCCCGACAATATTGTCGGGATCTTTCCTGGTCATAGCACAGCTCTGCGTTGTCAGCATATAGCAGGCAATAGCCGGCTATATGCAGAGTTTTGGGTCACAGGAGGACATTAGTAAATGTCCTCCTGTGACCCTGAAGTAAATCTATGGCAGAAAAAGTTTGGTCCATAGTTCTCTTTTAAGTTGAAATGCGTGTTTACTTTAACTTTAGGGTAAACTTTTCACACACCAGGGCAATATGGCGATAAGAAAAAAAAAATCATAACCATTGCTTACTTTTAATTAAAATCATGTTTAAGAACTGTCTGGAGATTCAAAGATATAAGCAGCTGAAGTTACATGCAAATTTAGATATACATGGCTGGCTTGGTCATGCCCCTTCCCAGGACACATTAAAGATGCAGAAATTGATGGATGAAACCACAGCGTGCAGCAAGTGACTCACATAATGGTGTCAAATGCTGAAGAATTTTCAGCCACCATAGCTTTCCAAGAGATTAATATACAGTACTTGTCCTGCTGCTTGTACCTGGATTTTTAAAGTCCATTTATTTTACAGACTGCTCTTGTTTGATCATTTTTGGCATGGCAACAGAGTAGCTTTAAAAAAAGGGATTAAGCCCAGTAGCATACCTATACCATGACAGGAGCAGTGCATGTTACAAAATCCCTTTACCTCCTTGAAAAAGATAAAAAGCTAAAGCGATCTGTTTTTTTTTTTCTTTTAATAATGGAAAAAGTTTGTGAATCAGTCTAATACACAGTTGCTTTACCTGACACGGGATCTATAATTCTTTTTGGCCGGTCCTGTAACTCACATACACCTTTGCCACAATGCACAGCCATGAAGATGACTCCAATATCTCCCAGTGCAGCTTTGCAGCTGTCCAAAGAGCAGGCTGGACATAGAGATGTTACAAATGAAGATGCAAAGCTGAATCAGGAAATAAAGGCACACCGTTTGGCAATGGTATGCAAATGCCACACCAAGGTGAAAAGGAGTGCAAATATTTGGGCAGGGTAAACAGTTAAATTCTATGCATTTCAACTATCGGTTAAAAAAAAACGTCTAAAACCTTTCCCACTTTGCTGAATCAAGCAATATTCCATTTTATCACCCTAAATATGCCATCCACCAAGTAAAATGTAATATATCATAGCTTGTATTCATTGATATAGGGATACAGAGATAAACAGAGGATATTTTTAAGAGTGTTAGATGATCAGTAAGCAGCTATACACATGTAACACAGACAAAACAAAACAGTGAAAATGACAATTGTTTTCTAGCAAGGGTTTTGACCAAATAATCAAAGGACCCACAGATTGTATGGTTATATGGTGTATGAATAGAAGATGAAATAAAAGCACTGTGAAAAGACAGAATGACAGAAGTGTGCAGATTCACAAGGACAAGTAGATAGCATGGTAACTAAAAAAAGAGTATTAATAATTTTAAAGAAAAGCGAATAATAAAATAAAATGATCAAAGTCGAATGATTTCTTAAGAAAAAACCTAAAGGCTGTGGTTTCACTGAAAATAATACCACCTTTATAAGAAAAATATATTATTTTGAAAAGAAAGCCATTTAAACAATATTAAAAGAGAACTATGCCCCAACCTTTTTTGGCCATAGTTCTCTTTAGGAAGGACATACTATTGTCCTCCTGTGACCCAAAAGTCAGCATATAGCATCTTCCCCTCCTCTTCCTCTTTCTATAGGGGTCCCCCAAGGCTCTAATCCTGTATAATAATAATAATAGCAGACTATTGCATGCTGCGGACATACTATTGTCCTCCTGTGACCCAAAAGTCAGCATATAGCAGACTATTGCATGCTGTATGCCGACAGCGCAGAGCTGCACTGCGGCCGGGAAAGATCCCGATATTGTCAGGACCCACCCCGCTTCCTGATTGAAAGCTGGCGCTGCCTCTCTAGACGCTCACTGATCCCTGCAAGGAGAAGACCAGGAACTCAGCGATCAGCGATATGCGAGCGCTCAGTTCCCAATCAATAAAGCCGACGAGTGACAGTTTTAGTTTTAGTGTTAGACATCGGCTCTAATTATGGGGATGAGTGTATTTTACTCTCCCCATAATTCTTCTTTAACATTTCATGGCCTATAAGTAGTAAAGGATTTGGGTTTATAAAATAAAAAGAACAATCCTTCATGACCAGCCTTTATGCATCTGTGTACAAGTTTGATAGAACGGTTAGAACTCCTATCAGTTTTTCACTGCTGTCTGGGGCTTCATTAGGAGATTTTACCATAATTTCCTGTTGTGCTGATGTTTTACCACACACTAAGTATGAGGAACTCTTCAATCACAACACAGGCAGAAATAAAAAACAAATATATTTATTAGATTAGAGGAAGACTAGAACTCCTGTCAGATTTATATTTCAGTCTGTGCCCTGTTATAGATTTTTGCTCATTTCCTGCCTTGTGAAACCATTGTCAGCAGGACATCAAGTGAGGTTAAATCTTTCTAACCGAGCCCTGGAGAGCAGTTAAAACCAGAAAGGAGTTAAAATGATTTCCCTCTCTATCCAAAACAGGGAAAAGGATTTTGGCTTGATATCACTTTAAGCAAATTATTGTAAGCTGTAAGAGGGTCTGCCACTCTGCGCCAACCAGGCTCCATTGGTTCTCACATTGGTTTCAGTTCAACACTGGGTACACTTGCAGGAGAGGGGAGGGCAGAGTTGATCTCAATTATGTGCTGCTAATCTTTTGCTGTCCAATCACCAGTCTGTACTGGGTCCTTGACCAGGTAGTGGGCATATGGGTTTGCAAGGTGTTGTAAGCGGTCTTCATGCTTACAGGGAACATACACTTGGTTTTAAAATAACAGGAAAAAAAGAGAAACCTAAAAAGGTATTGTAACCTTGGAAAAATGACCATAGAAGAAAATTGGACAAACTGCTGAATGCTGAATTACTCATCTCTAACCACTGCCACTAAAAAAAGTCACTATTGCGAATAGTGTAGCCATCATGTAGCATGTCAAACAAACTGGCCAAGAAATTAAGCATATCCTGTGCTTTCCTTTAACTAAAGAAAACATCATTCCCCATTTCCCTATGTATCAGGTACAAAGATTTTCACAAAGAAGATTCTTAGAGTAAGCCAATATTTTCCTGATAGAAACAACAACTATAGCTAAATAGTGTTAGACTTACATGTCTTTTGCTGCCCCCTCGGAGGAAGGAATTTGGGACTCCATGCTTTGACTCTGAATCACTTTGATCTTCATAGCTTTCAAATTCACTAGAACTCCAGCCATAATCCAAAGAGCTGGTTCTGCCGCCTTCTCCATTTTCCACATCATCATAAATCATTTCCTCAGGATCTAAGACAGGAAGATACTGGGTTAGCCTTAGGATTAAAGCAAAATTATACAATTACAGTACATACTATACTGCTTTAATCAGTAAATAGAGTAATTCTAGGAAAGGACAGGAGGTTCTTTTGCGTGATTATAATTCCATATGCCAGCTTCAGATTGTGTTTTGTAACAAATATCTACCTTACTTTTTATGGAATCAGCACATTGAGATACATATAAAAATATCTCGTATAATTAAAAAAATGTTTCTGAGCACAGCACAGTGACAATCATATAGTAGGGTACCTGTTGCAGAGTCTGAATTCTCTCTAGGAACATCATCATAAATAACTTCATCAGGATCTAAAAAACAAATTATAATAATAAGCAATATACATATATACATACAGCCTCTATAAAAATAAAAATTCTAGTTTAGCAAATAAATGCATTGTTGAATATATGACATGGCAGTAGGTTAGTAGATTTTTTTTTTTTCTGAATGCATGCAACACACTGTAAAAGAGAACAGATCATTTGAAATTAAACTGAACAAATTTATGATAACAAAATGTAGATGTAACTTGCTGACTTTTTCCCTATATAACCCGCGTTAGATAAATTATTATAAGGCCAGACAGTATTAATTGAAAGATCATTTCCACACAAATCAAATGTCTTTGATCCTTGGTCATAAAATCTTTTTACCACCCATGACACAAACATCACAGTATCAGCTTTGCCCTTCAGCTAAGCTGTTTGTATCACAGGCCTGCGAGCTTGCTATACAGTGTATTCCTCTGGAGAACCCAATAGTAGGAGCACGATATAAAAAAAGGAAGTAGGCTCTACCTCCTCTACTCGATTCTCCATATAACCATTAAAATAACTTATTTGGGTTAGTGATTTGACTTAAAAATGCCCAGAAAACAACACGACACGGAAAATGGACACTGTCCTAGTGTTTTTTTACATTTTTGCTGAGTTAAAGTGAGTTGTTCTGGGGGCAGGGGGGAAGGTTTATGTTGTCTTTCTTGACAAAGGCAAAAACCTACTGGGGACTAAACTGATAAGAGTGAAAAACATTTTCAGTGGAGACAGTATTTTTTTATTCAGATAAAATAAATCAAATAAATGCAATGTACTTCAAGATTAATAGCAATTATGAAGTCAGCAACAGGTTAAATCAGGCATGTCTTGGTTGTAAAAGAAATACAGTATATGCCTCTTAGAAGTAGGGGAAAATATGTAATGTAATGCTGTAGACAATAAAAATATATTGAAAAGACAAGAGGAGATTAAAAATATTTACTTTCCATCCATTCTGTATTTGCTGGATCTGAAACCCATTTGGCCAATACGTCCTCTTCTTTTGATGCCTGAAAGTCCTCACTTTAGAAAAAATTAAGAACTGTAAAAGCTTTTTAATTGCATGATATTCATAAGAGGAGAAAATAGACACGTGTTAATACTTCTATAGTTCAGCTACTATTACAACAGGCCCCAAATTTTCCACTCGCCTGCTCGCATTTGGCGAGTGGAAATTCAGTCAGACTCGTGGGAGCAGCTGCTCCTGCTGGGCTCTCCGTTCTTTCAGCTGCAGCTCTTCACTGAGCTCCGGGTCAAAAAACAAAGTGATTAGTAAGGTCTGCAGCAGACCTTACTAATCACACTAGATCACCAGGGATCTGCCTGCTCGCCTCCTCCCTGCAGAAAGACAAGCAGGTGAGGGGGCTTCATTGTTTTACTTTACATGGTGGAGGGTAGGGAACAGGGGGGCTTCTTATTTTATGTGTGTGGGGGG